AAAAAATTTCATGTTGCAGTATTATTTGGAGAAAAATAAGAGCTACTCTTTCGCCGCAACGATTCATATGTATGATAAATCGATTTCATCTGCAGGAGAAGCAAATGCATCAATTATAATGAATGTGTGTGATGATCTCAAAAATCATCCTAATAAGACGTGTCGCAAATATTTATTCGGAAACCAATTGGTTTTATACCAATTCTATTAATGCAAAAAGAAGTTTGATTGCTTGCTTGTTACTTTCTTGGTATTTTTCATTTGACTCAGAGCGTAACATGTGTCACTACATTTATGATGGTATTATTCGTAGCTGAAAGAAAATTCAAATCTTTCGGAAATATATGAATGTGACTTGGAAATGTTAATTATGTGCTATTTATCGAAAACTGAATTCATCACATCGATACCTCTGTTCAACTCAATGTCATCTTGCATCGCAATATATTCAAAAGTATACGTTTTTCTCCGAAACCGTGATCACTCTTTCTCTGTACATACTCATTGTTTATTATTCGAACTTATTGAATGAGCTTGAATATTTTCATAAATAAGATTTTATTGAGTTTGTGATTGCACGTTTGTTAAATAATGTGTTGTTCTAAATTAGAACTTCTAATTTGTCATTCAAATGATAATAATTTCATGAAATAAATCAAAATATATCATGCTTTGCATGTGGTTTGTTCACAAGTAGACAGCAAGTAATTAAAAGAACAAGAATTTGAAATTGCATGTGAATAATAAAATAGCATCGAATTACGCATTTAAAATAATTGAAACGTAGTTTGTATTTTATGCAATTTGAATATACAATTTCTATACGTACATTCGTCAAATACGATAGAACACCAATATTTTTAGATTTAAATTAATTGATTTATATTGTTGAACAAGGTCTTCAAGTCTTTCTTTCTCTCTCTCTCTCTCTCTCTCTCTCTCTCTCTCTCTGCCTTTTGAAATACAAAACTCAACCTTATGAGTGAATAATTCAAGCGATGCCATAAAATTACCCAGGAACTCATTAAAAAGGATGCTTTGCGCACATTTTTCTAGTGGAATTCCTTTTAAATATGACCATCTATGAGTTTAGATACATTCCAAGCCGGTTTATTGCATATTTATTTTTTCGTTTTATAAAAGCAATTAAATGTTGTTTCAACTTTACAGGTGGAATTTAATCCAGACCATTACAAACTGCGTACATTAACTCGTTCATTAGACGCGAAATCGAATCATATAAATCAATATCCGTGCCATTTTGGCTGTGCTTCATGTGCAAATTTTGAAAACTTGGTCCTCTGACGCACCAAATTTGCCACATTTCGTCTAAAATATTACTATTGTCACACGTTGTTGGTTTTAATCAAATGTGTGGAATTTTATTCTTTCGTTGGTTTATGGCGCTGGTATTTCGTGCGTTTGCACGTGTTTTGAATCAATTGCATCATATTTTGTCTAACATTTCGTGTTGGTGTAAATGTTATTTGTGAAACCTTACGAACACCCATAAAAACAAAATTGCTACTCGATTGAATTGTTTTGTCTATGTCGACCGTTTTTCTTTGTATCCTTGTACATAACAAACAACGTAGATTTATTTGTGGATATACATTCTTTCGAGTCTCATTTTTTCCGCCTGCTTGTTTATACTTACTTGAGCAATTGTGGCTTCAATAATATTCGGTGGAAATACATTTCTGAAAAAAAAAACACATTAAATTTTCAGCATGTATAATTCTTTAATTCATTGTATTTTTATGTTTTATTAAATTTTTAGAATGTTCTTTACGAATCGAAATTCCATTGCATCAAATTGTTGGGCAACATTTTGGAATTCGTTCCTAGAAAACGCATACACTCAAACTTATTCGAGTCAAAACGATTCGCTTATTTTCTATTTGAGTAAAATGTGAAGACCTTTTTGGAAGTGATAGGCCAAAATAAAGAAATTATGTTTACAATTGAATTTTCTTCTCTAAAATAAGAAATGCCAAAACCCAATGTAAGTGAAACGCATCTACGCAAATGTACAATTTAAAATTGATTTAAATCAATAGATTTTTAACACTCCCAAATGGAATTGAACATTCGATTGGGGCATTCAGTTTCGTCTCTCTGCCATCAGAGGAGATAAAATTTGCATTCAACTCTGATAAATGTTTGTTGGTTTGCTGACTTTTTGCGTTCAACGCTTGAATGAGTATATATCATTCGGCTAAAGTGGAAATTTATATCAACCGTAGTCAAATGCTGAAAAGCGAATCCTGCGACTATGGCAATTTCATGCCATAATAAGATCAATTGATTTTTTTTTTTCATTCGATTTTTGCCTCTGGGAATGCCGACGATTCGTGACAATTTCGAACGCAACAACATTTTCGAAGCGAAATTTATTGTTATTTTCTATTTTCCGAATAATATTTGGTTCGCACAAGGCGAATGGGAACGTGTGAATATCTGTGTGTGTGAGAGTGTGTATCGGTTTGTTGAACGTGAATAGTTGAAATTATTGGGTATCATTGGAATAAGTGGAAAAATAATGACTGTGGCACATTTTACGTATAAATCGTGAATCAGATCAATTTCAATGCGAGCGCTTTTCATTCAAAGACGAAAAATTGTTCACAACGACAAGTGGATAAAGCTGAAGCACATATTTTTTTGCCATGTGTACATTGTTAAAATGATGAGGTCGTATACAATGTGCTCGATATGCATAGAGCGAACAGCAACAACAAGAAGACAGTAATCGAGAGACAGTTGAAGTGAACACTAGTCAAAATGAGTCCCTGTTCGGCGTTCGCTTTTATATTGGTTGGATGTTTGTATGTAAGCAGATGAGCATCTCTCCGCGTTGATTTTGTTATTTTTACTGTCGTTCGAACACTCGTTCGATTTGAAGCCAAACACTCGAAAGCGACATAATGAGCGAGATACCGTTAAGAATACGCTAATATCCTGAGGATATAATCTACGCTGCCGTTCCCGTTGAGCTTTGAGCTTCGATAAAATATCATTTTCATCACTTTTCTATCGATTTCCCTCCTATCACTAAACACAGATTTAACTTCTTTGATCTATCAAATCGATTACATATGGAATAATCCAGCTCATCACAGTCTATTTTAACAGCTTCGCGTGTAAATCAAATGCTCGAAAACAATTTTAACTTTAGACAATATTTTATAAAGATTTTTTTTCGCGTCGCCTCTTGAACTCCGAATAATACCAATAAAAATGCAGAATTCAATTTGCGGCATCCCACAAAAATCAATTCGAATTCAAATATGTCGATTGACAAAATATTTATTATAGATCAAATGGCGAAGCAAAAAAAAAAAACTGTTTCCGTGGCACTTTTTAAAGCGGGTTTAAGTGATATTTTTTTTCAATTCAGTCAAGGCCAACCATATCGTTGTGAATGCATTTTAACAATTACATTGTTTGACGGATTATTGGGAGCGCGCGTTAAAACACAGTGCACACAGTGAGAATGTGTAATAATGAACGAAATCGGGAGTTATCATGAGACTTATATATAGGTATATACATATTTCATCACATGAATGGAGATACGTGTGCGACTGTGCGTGTGCAGTTTCCCGAATGCATTCACAATTATTTTGCACGTCAAATAAATCAAAAATGTGCCTGGTCAGCAAGTTGAGATGATGAAGCATTAAAGATGGGCTCAACAAAAATCTAAAATGATTTTTTCTCGATTTTATATGCTTCAATATCCAATGGAATTTTCTCATATAGCCTCGTATTATCGTCCATTCATTTCGTTGTTTTTTAAGCTAAGATGTTTCTGATTGCTTTTAAGTCGTATTTTCTCATCATCGATGTATTCGAATTTTTCATATTCCACCAAGATTCATTTAATTCGATTTTCAAAATCATAAGTGGGCATGCCATAGATTTTATGGGAGTAATGGCAAAATCCAGGAGAGGATTCCGGGAAAAATCTATTCAATTTATTTTTAAAAAGTTCTCGGAGTATTGTGAAAATTGCTGAGAGCTCCTCAGATTTTTTCAGGGTCCACATATTTTGGGAATCGCATCACACTTACACGCACTCACATACCATGTATCAAATCAGAATGTTGATGATTATTTTATTTTTTGCACTTTTTTCATTATTCACAAGATTCAATAATGATATAATTCTTTTCAATTCACTATCATTTGTACTTCATACGTTTGTGTATTTCAGAAGCAAAAAAAAACATGTTTTCTACTTTAATTTGACTCTTATATGTTCTCTTTTATATCCTTACTAATTGGAATGTAAAAAAATCACTGCGTCAAGAATGTGGAAGGTTTTATTCATTTGTTCAAGTATTGAAGATTTATAAGTACTTTTATAATGAGGGCATATAAATGGTGCTTTTACACAAAGCATAATAATTTTATTGAAAAACAAAAATAATGGTATAATATCGTCGATGTGAAAAATGCATAGCAACGTACTCTCGAGAATTTACCACCAGAAGACAGTACAAACAAAAATCGTAAAAAAACGCAAGAACTGTGGTATGGGTTCCCCTATGTTTTCGTTGAAATCGTTGAGTTCACATTTTATTAGTAAAATCGAAAGCACTTACCGAATTAAATCGAGCAATGTATCGACTGTGTAGACACGTTTCGGTTCGCTTTTCGGAGTATCATTTGCGAATTTTTGACTATCATCACTGCCAATAACACCTGGACGAATGGTTGTCACTAGAATAATACCCAATATGACGGCCGATATCGTCGTCGTCATATAGTATGTGATTGCTCTAAAATATAAAAAATAAAATTGTAGTAACTTCAATACGATGGGATAAAACTAGTTTGATTACAGTCTAAAAGAGAGCTTAAGCTTACAAAATGTAACGAACGAATAGCTGGCAGGTGTTTACTTTAACTCAACGATTTGATACACAATTGATGTTTGTTTTACAATCATTTTCGAATCCGTTTGGATAATTTTAATTGAAACATTTTCGAAAATGATTTACCTCGATTTATCTTGGGTTTTTTGTGTAAAAAATATGTGGTTTTTGAGTAAGAATATAATGAGCGTAGGAATTGTTTGAATAAAGAGATTAATGTTGATAATTCGACTGGGTGAATATGGTGAAAAACAATTTAATACATTTGCAAGGAACTAAGTTCACATTCAATGCTAAATGTAACAGCATAGAAATTGGTGTAGTGAATTTATTCGTTATTTTTTGCACACAACAAAAAAAAACGCGATCTACCTTTTCATTTCGTTGAGTAGACGATGCAAAGATTTAATTTTGCGTTTTCGTTTACTTTGCTGGAATTTTTTTTCTATATTTGAAACACGTTAATACGATTCGCAGAATAAAAGTCAACAAATGACTTCCATCCAACTTTTTATCCGATGCGACCGATTTTTTTTATACTCTTTTCTTGAAACTCGATTATAGCCAAGCAACGAAAACATGATTTTCATTTCTAAGCAAAACATGGAAAATCAACAAGTGAGCGCACAAAAAAGCGTAAAGCACCATCATCAGAGAAACTGTTGCACAATTGGAAGCGTGCCAAAATATACCAACCAACTCATGCATTATACATGAATTTTGCTATCATCGAGTGGTTACTATTCCTTATTCCTTATTCAACGACCTTTTGCGGCTGAATTAATCAGAGCTTATACATATACCTTTTGTGTATACAAAAACCATTACAATTTTCGATACATTGCTCTTCTCATACAAAATGGCATCGACGACACAAATAATGAATAAAAAAAATGAGAAATAGACGAGTTTGACATCGTATTCAACATGTAGTCTGTGGAGCAAATGTTTGCAATGTAATTGCATGAATAAAAAAAAACAGCTTTCTGTATGTATCTCCGACTATAAATGGTTGTGCGGTTTTGATTCGATGATGGTTTTTTGACGTTGATGCTGCCGCTGTCACTTTAATTTCAATCGGAAGCAACACATTTATTTACACTCTGCCAGTTTGTCACAATTTCACATTTGGTAGGCGATAAGCTGCTGTGAGGTCATCAAATCTTTATGTAAAATGCAAAGCACAGCGCCACTGCACTCAACAATTTTATGCTAATCAATCTGAATAAAATGTTTTACCTTTTGGCAATCTTTCCGGACATGCTCAAATCTAGTGAGCCGATGGCGTGAGTTATTGACGACACTAATAAAGGTACTATTAAACATTTAAGCATTCTGTGTATGGAAACAAACAAGAAAATGGATTAGAATTTGGTTTTCATTTTTGATCACTTGCGAACTTGCTTGAGAAAACTTACCTTAAAAACAAATCACCGGGATATTGAATGTACATGATTTCACGTTTTGTCCATTCCGTTGAACTTGAATTTTTCAATACCAAACCGACTACGACACCGCTTAGCACACCGACACATGTTAAAATGGTCAGCAAATTTCGCTGGATAAAGCCTCTACTATTCACAGGCATTTTGTCAGGTGGTGGTTTTTTATTTGTATGTGTGTATGTTCAGTTTTTGGTGTGATTTCGATAAAACTATGCTAAATTCCCTTCGATTAACAGTAGTTTCAAATTTAAATTCTAAAAAAAGAATGCAAAATGAAAAGAGTCAATTTATTGGATGTTGTCGGTCTATCGTTGGGTTGCAGTTATGTTCCTCGTTTATTGATATTTTGTTGGAAACTAAGCGGCAATATGTTTTTGTCTTAATTTAAATGGTTTTTTCTCTCTTCTAAAAGCGATTTCTGAAATGATAAAAAAAATTAAACAACATATTAATTGATTGTTTGCAAATTGCGTCTTGTGTATATAATTTAAGAATTTATTTGATGCAGTAATGACTGCACTTAGTAATTAATTTGCATTAAACTTGAGAAAATAAGGCAATATTATGTCAAATGTATCAGTGCAACAATCTCGCGTCATTTATTACAAAATATTTGATATTGGTCAGTTAAAAACGCCATCAATTTTACCATCAAATTGTCATTTCTAATTAATATCAATTGGAATTTATTGCGTCGGCTATCGGTCATTAGAGAGACATGGTCAGAGAGAGAGAGAAACGTCCACCACCGCTACCGACGATTATGCACTGCCGCCAACAATCATTGCAATTGTGTAAAAGAACCGTGCAAATATATTTTAATGCACCGCGATGCACATACCAATCTCTTTATGACATCTAATTAAAAAGTTTACAAATTAATTCAATGGGTTAAACGAAAAAAAGTGTAATGAAGCAACCAGCTGATAATTTAATTGAAAATATCTAAGGCGAACACTTCAAAGACGCCTGAATATGTTCATATTCATTATTCACACACTCAAACGTAGCACACACGCGACGAAAGTAAATTCCAAACATTTTAACATAATTATCTGTTGTCATCTCGTTGTGACATTAAATTCACACATGACGCACAAGCACATGTTTCTGTTTTTGGTTTGCGATTCTAAATTATGCACAATGCATAAGTGTTCTTGCTTTCTATTTCTATTTCGACATTGTAACGACCGTGACTCAGAAGAAAAACACAAGCAAAAAGATCATACGAACACATCGAACGTGCTGCAGCTTCACTTTTTTTTGCATTTAGTGCATGTTTGCTCATTTGGGAGCACATTTATCATTTCTATTGACTAATATGTTTTTGTTTTACATGGCGACTGAAAAAAGTGGTTTCCAATACTAAACAAAATTTATTGGATTTATGCAATTGTTTTTATTTAGTTTTATGTCTCTTCAATTGCACATCAACACAAAAACATTCTCATCTATTTTAATTAGTTTCAATAAAGTCGAACCAAAACATGATTTGAATTGTAAATGGCGTGGAATTTGTGCAAATTCATGTGTGATATATAAAATCAAGACGGTGCAATGCGTTTTAATGAATTTGTTTCTGTCACCGCACATAAATTTTGTAAAGTTGGCACATCCAGTTGATTCTAGTTTTTAACTTGAACATTGCAGATGGCATGAATGCATTTTATTGTCGTTGTGAATGAAAGTGATTTCGATAATCGATTTGTGTACGAGTGGATGCACAATTGAATTTTGTAAGCCATCAATTGATGTAGATTGATGTGGTGGTCAAATATCGTAAGCGCCATTGTCATTGTGAACGATGAAAAGACACAAAAAAACAATACATATACATTGAAGATGCTTTTCAAATGTACAATTGCTGGAATATCAACAGTTTTTGAGCTCGACAAGAGTTTCACAAGTACGTGACAGAGTACGTGCTCGGTTCATTTCTGTAAAAGATGGAAAAACTATGATAATTTATGAAAATTTTATTCACTTTACTCTTTTACATCGTCATACTCTATTTTATATAGTGTTTTTCACGTAGAAGCCATGTGATCAGCATGTTCTTTCACAAATATTCGTGCATCTGACTGACTATACAAAAAAACGAACTGGATAGTATGGTGCAAAATGGAAAATGTATTGAGCTGCACAAGACGAACTAAGGAAAGAAACTATAAGCCAACAGGAAAAAGAGATATAAAGAGAAGAAACTTGTCAGTTTTCCGTTCGCTCGCTCAATTCGGAAACATGCAATCACAGTACAAAGTACATTCTTTATCGTTCACAGAGTAATAACTATTTCGCTCGACAATTCAAAATATGTTAAGAATTATAACAATTCGGAAATGTTGTACATTACGAATGCAATGCATTTTGTGTTGAAATTTGATTTTAAATTGCCACTGAAGTCAGTATCAAGTTAAGTAGTGAAGTGATAGAACGTGACGCGGCACCTTATCTGTTGTTCGTTTGATTGAATAAAAGTTTCGCACTGTGTTGGATTGGATAATATTATGGTGCGTTCGGATCAAAAATTCCAAAATTCACTATGCCATCGTCGAGCATACATATCATGAAATTGATAATACTTGATGGATCTGTCAGCTGTAAACAATTTGTGGGCCGACGAATGCGGGTGATGTTTGACGATTATATTCAATTAGTTCACATTCGCTTATGAACATTTCCTTTGTTGTTTGGTATTTCGAAAGCTGAATTGATTGTCCAACCGCAATATACTCAACATTATATTGGGCTCAATTCGCTACATCTTTTGAAAACTGGTTGAAATCCATTCCATAATTCGTTTCGACTTTCTTTGATCTCGACTTTAATCAGCTCATAAAGTAGTTCGTCGAAGTCATGGCTTTTCCGTTTATTTTCCAGAAAATTTTTATATTTTTTTTTCTCTTTCAGCATATTAATGGATTTTTTCCATTTCATAATAAAAATGCAAATGAATGAATCCGAATTTCATGCAGCCATAAAATACTTGAAAATCAGCGATATTACTTGAAACGATTTTTTTTTTCGTTTGCAGAAAAGAGGTTGATGCTTCCTCTTCGGTGATGTCAATGCAAATGACACGAAGTGGAAAGAAGCAGAAATACCATGCTCAGAAAACAAAAAGCACACGGTTAAAATGCCATATCGCCGTACATTGATGAAAAGTGATATAACGAAACATGACTACACAATAAGCAAACCACAAGGAACAGGATAAAAAAAATTAGAAATGATAGCAATTTGTATGGTGTGGGCGGAAGAGATTGATTGAGACGATGGAAGCAATACTTCGATTTCAATAGAGATGATGAGACGTTTGCTTGCTACTCGATCAATCAGAAATTCCAGTGTAGTTGTGCGTATGTCTTCGTTTTGTGTGCGCGCTCATTTCGTCTTTCATTGAAAGTTTGCTTTTGAAATGTTTACCAAAGACATCACATTATGAGGAATTTAATTTGATTGCTTGCTTGAGAATGCAGATCAACAGTCTTCCGTTCTTTCTTTTTTTTTCATTCGAAGGCAATGCGAGAACTCTGTACACCCACTGAAAATGCTGAAAAAAAAACCAAACGGAACTGCATCGATATTGATTTGAGCCAGAAGTAAAATCTCTAATAGCAACACCTTGGATTAACGACTTTACTGTGAATATTGTGAACTGTCACTTCAAGAGATACAAATGAAATCACACGAATCAAGGAATTCCAATAAGCGCACGAAAGAACGAAAAAAAAAATCGCTCAAATCCGATTAATTAAAATTGTGCAGCATCAACTATCGAACTATCCGACACTGACGACTTTGCTTTGAGCTCTTAATTGCGAACAACGATACCAGTATGAATGGCGAGCGAGAGAGTGGATCAGTTACACATAGCGAATAACAAATTTAAAAACGAAATAGGTCATATATGTTTGGTGCGTGGTAGGGCGCTGCCTGGGGCTGATACATTGTAGAATAATGTGGGATTTTATTTTATCAGCTTTGTCTACAATTGAATAGTAAATCCACGGTGAAATTGATGTAGTGCACAAAAATAGAGCGTTCCAACTGCAATGCAATTGATTGTGGGGCTTCCATGAATTTATGCGCGACTACTGCAAACTGATGATGTTGTTCGATCGAAATAAATAGCCGAAAAAATAACGCTTTAAATTGCACTCCATAACGAAGTTTTGTTTTTCAATTTTTTTCTCTCTCGTTTTATTTCGTATTTACCAGTGTGAATGACAACAGTCGTGGCTCAGTTATTCAAGAGGTAATCCAGAGTTGTACATTCGGAAATCGTTTTGATAGAATTTGTTTATTTAGTAGCATGAAACACATTTTTTTCATTAAATTGAAAAATCACTTCACTGACATTTTACTTTTTTGTATTCGAAAACAAACAAAAATAATACACCGTTTTTTTTTTCTCTAGTTTTGTTTTCACAATTTTGATAGAAGAACCACGTGGCAATGTTGATAAAAAGGTCAGAGCCAAAAATAGAATTTTCGATAAGAAATTTCGCAGAGAGATTTATGAACTGAGACTATTTGATACAACCAATCACACTCTCAATCACAATTGAAATGAATCCCCCATTTCATGATTCAAACCAAAAATGGATCAGATTTTGCTTCAATCACAATATCGCCATCTCCATTGCTGATTGCATTTGATTCGTTCATTTAATAGTTAATATCGTTACATTTGCAGTTATTTCTGTCTAGCTCTGTTTTTACTTCGCTCTCTTTCTCTCTGCCTCGCTCTCGCTCTTTCTCTATTGACGGCATTCATATGATACGTATATGTCATGGGCTCATGTAAGAAACATTTGTGATGAATTACAACATTTTTGTATTGTGTGTTGGTTCATCATATATGCTCGTGCTCATTCATTCACATGTCTATCAATTTACCGGATGATAGTAATATTGGCATCAATTTCGCGTTAGCTCAATCGTTTTCATTCGAAATTCAAACCCGTGAACCCATCGTTTAAATAGGTTTTTGTCGTTCCAACATTTTATCTCTCTCTCTCTCTCTCTCTCTCTCTCTCTCTCTCTCTCTCTCTCACTCAAACTACATTCGACCACACACAATTGGCACAACATTTTAATTTGCTATTGCCAGTTTTTATCCACTTTAGAAAATATGATAGCGTTTGATAATCTGGACTTTGTGAATGTAACTCATTTTTTTTGAACAGCAATGAAAAAAAAACGAATCATTTTGTATAATGGTCAATCTCATAAATCTCTTAAAATGATAATAATTTTTTTTACGCAATACGATTCAGGTAGAAAGCATCTTTTCCTCAATGTAGCAATATTACATTTATTTCAACAAGGGAGCTACATTTACAGTCGCCCTTAAAATCGAAGCATCCGTGATGTGAATATTTTGTTGTGATCATATGACACTTGACATCGGTAGTAAAATCGTTCTCTCACTATTGTTAGGTCATCAGAATGGTAGATAATAATTTATTTTGAATCGTTAGCAAAAGTAAAATGAATGTTTCGAACAGATTGGGACTGACAGAATGAAAAATCTGTATAATCGGCAATAGTGGTCATTTTTTTCAATTGAATATAATCTCATCCTCGAATGGACAAGAAAAGATCTTTTATGTTGAAGGGAAAAAAATTGCGAAACTTTTCGCATTGTGCAAAAACCGACGACTATGTATGAATGCGAAATTTTTAGATATATGACGAGACAAAACAAATAATAATCTCTGCAAAGTATGTGTGAGTGGGATTTCAACAGGCTGCAAAATTCCAAATTCCAACCCAAACAACATTCGTGACCGAAACAAATAAAATTCTTTCTTTTTTTCGAGCAAAACAAGAGTCTCCTCCATACGCATTCAAATAAAGCTTAAAGAATTTTCTAAAACGCAAAGCGAAAATAATAAATGTATTTACTAAGAGTCTTTGTTTTTCAAACTTTTTGGCATTATACACATATGGATGCAAACGAAAGAGACAGAGCGAAAGCGGGGGAGGAAAAAAAGTAAAGAGTTGAGCTTCAATTTACCAACTAAAATGCAGAATCAACATCATGGTATGGCACTTGACGTTGTTATATTCATATATTTCATGTACTCATTGCAAACGTTCAGCTCTATCTCCCTTTGATGAGAGTTTTAACCTTTTTTTCTGTGGTCCATCCACGCAACTCGGTTACTTCATTGGAAAATCCTACACATAGCTACATTTTTTTCCGTTGTGTCAGCACCATTTTTTGTTTGCATCATTCAACTATATCAGATTTCCATAGAAAAGATTTGCAACTGTCGTAACTATGTTTTTTCAGGATACTTTGCATATCAGAGCAATGATTACTAAAGTTGATGTTCGATTGGAAAAGTTTTGAATACACTCTTTTTTTTTCATGCACTCGTTCAGTCGTTGCGTAAAAATATCGTGAAGCTTTATTTGCGGTTATAATAGATGCACGTGCACGCCAATTTCACTTTATTGCAAATAATGACATAACATATACCCGTAATTTGTAAACCACAAAAGAGTTGAAGTACATCATTGAAATTAAAATAGAATAGGGAAAAAACAGATCCTTTTGATACCATCAACAATTTGATGGAATGGGTTTTAACTATATACAGGGTGTTTTCTTTTAATACACATAGATATATGTTTAGCATATTATGTGTGTTCACAGTTTCTCCTTGATAATTTTTTTTTTCAAAGCTAACGCGATCTTTCGATGAACGTGCATGTTTTATACGCGAATAACTTTGAAATAGGGTTTATTTAGTGATAAGTATTTGATTTTTATAATATTTTATTCTCGAAATAGTAAAATGTTTCGAAAAAATAAGTTGGCATTGACATTTTGGCTGTGATTGTACATATTTTGAAAGAACGAAAGTTTTATTTAGTAGTCTTTTTGATTAAATTAAAATAACACATCAGAGCATTTATAGCAAGATGTCGCAGACCAAATAAGAAGGTTCAACCTCTATAATGAGAAGAAGTATAAAATTTTGGTTCACCCCATACCTCCTCATCGCCTTATTTCTTGTGAAATTTTCTTCAATCAACGGTAGATAAACAAATGAGAATTAAAATTTGGAAATGCAAGAAAAAAAAAAGAATAAATAATTGAAAACAGACAAACGAAATTTCACACATACGTACAAAATGTTTTTCATTCACTCAAAGCTAAATCAAGCCAAATCACATTTAATCAAGTTTTTGATGAAATGATTTCATTTTCTACGAAATGGTTTGGTTGTTTAACATATCAAATTATAAGTGGTTGAACAAGAGGATGTATATTCAAAATGCCGGCGAGGTCAACGGTGAACAAGAGTATACGTTTGATGTCAATTTATATTATGATACACCTAGCTACACAATATTTTCTGTGCAATCTGATTCATCGCAACGAGCTTACATTTAGCCAGTTCAACGAGATTTTTGAGTGAATTCGAATTATTTAATTTTTTTTAAATGTGGTCTCTCAAAAATAAATTGATGAGCTAAAAAAAGGTCAACGTTTGAAAAAGGTCCACACTTTTTCGACCCAAAAATCCTGTCAAAATGTAGTTTTTCATTCTCCACACTTGATATGCAACCGTTATGAGTGCGGTATGCAAGCAAATTATATGTTTATATTTTCATGCTTTCTAAGCACCACAGAAATAGTCAAAATTCTAATCGATAAAGGTGCTACAGAAGATAACTTCAAAAGAACTCCATATGGCTGCTGCGAATGGTAATTATACACTTTTCTGATAAAAGTTTAAAGAGGAACTATTCTTAACAAAATAAATTCACCACTTTTCATGATGATCGAAAATGGTGCCGATATGAATGCAGAAGATTACCTCAAACAAACGCCACTTCATATAGCTTCTTGGAATGGTAATCATACATTTTTTCGGAAAAAGAGGAAATATTTTTATTAAAATTTAATTTTATCACTTCTTATGCTTTCTAGGCACCACCGAAGTAGTCAAAATTCTAATCGAAAATGGTGCCAACGTGAATGCAGAAGACAACGATAAAGAAACGCCAACCTGTAAATCAAAAATATTTGGAATTACTTCTGTGATCAGACAGTGAAATAAATAAATAACAATTTTATAAATAATTGGGTGCACAGCATGACCATTATTCAAAATGTCCCTATTCGTAATTTGAATTTTTGGTATAAAATAAATCAAAAGTCACACGCCCTGGTAGTGACTCACTTATATGCGAAATCCTGTTTAATTCGTAGACACCATGTATACATTGTTTGGAGCATGAAAGAGTTAAAATAAATCCATCATGAATTACCACATTCAAAACCATCGAAGCGATGATGGAATTTGATTTTATGAATATTTTGCACTATTGTTATTCGGTTCTTTCCATTTGAAAGTATATGCCATGAAATCTCCCTCTTTTTTCTCTCTTCCTCCCTTTCTTTATCATTTTCATATCTAACAACAAATGTGTGCGTAATAAGGACTCAATTGGAATGCTCATCTTTTGAATAGCAAATCTTTTGAATAGCATTGAGCCAAAAATATACACAAATATTCCAATCACGACCGCAGCAAAGAAAATATTTAGGAATGTACCTAAGCTTCTACATCTATATCTGATTGTCAAGATTGACCATTTATTTAGAATGTAAATTCAATGCTAATGAAGTAGCGAAACAATATTAGTATTATCAGCCTAATGAATTTTCAGAGTCGTCAAAGTTTGATAAATAATTTCATCGCAACAAAAATAAAACTAAATGCAAATGAACACTAAAATTTTTTTATCATTATGCACAGACTTTTTTTTTTCATTTTAAAACTATATCGTTTCCATACGAATCGTTTGCATAACAATCGCATAACAAACATTGAATTAAGAATTAATTTTTGAATGTTTTAATTTTACTTTGTGCTTGTTACATATTTTTACAATTAAATTGGTAAACAATTTATCAAGTTAATGTTGAAAGTAATTGTAAAATTCCGAAAACTCAATTTAATGATGTTGATAAATCATATTCCCTTCGGATACACATCAATATGAATTATTAATTAGCCTTTTTATATGAAGAGTTTTTTTGCTTCTCAATGGATCAATGCTGAATTTGCAACGATTAGCATTGATTCATATTCAATATGAATTAAAGCAATACATTTATGGCCACCCTTATTTCCTAAGCCCAACTTGCACAATCTCTAACGCAATGATTTTCAAATTATACAATTTTGTGCGAGTGTCTTTTGAATTTTTGACGAGTCCTGATTTTTTCTGCTTGTCATTATCGTTGCTGTTTTGTGAATTGATTTGAATAAATTATAGCCGAAGAGTAGCAGCGACAACATCGCACCAGATCAAGTTGACAATGGAAAATTGTCAATACGGTCAAAATAAAAAAATAAAAAAACGGGAAACGAAAAGGAAATGGAGGGAGAAAAAGAGAGAAAAATCAATTTGTCTTGGGACTTCTCATGAATATGTAAAATAGCGCACATAATTGACACCAAATCCCTCATTTGGATGCTTAACTTGCACAACAGTAAGATTCAG